AAAACAAATACTGTACATACATTTTGGGCCCCCTTCCAAGTGGACCCTGTGCGGGTGAACCTGTTGCACCTGCCTAGTTACGGCCCTGTTTGTATAACACATACTTCTTGATTATCTAGTGGAATGCTGTTGAAAGTGACGGATAGAATTGGATGCAGTATACATGTAGCATCCACCCGAGGTCCTAGGCTTCTACTAGCTAAACTGGGTGAGGTTGGTGCTCTGTAAAGCGCATGTACGAATCTGGCTTTTTGGATGCTGATAATACAGCGCTTCCACTCTGCCACTAATATACGAATATACAATAGCAATCTTATCTTTCTTTTTTTTTCACATGTAGTATAGAAATTTGTCGCATATTGTGCGAGAAATCGCACAATATTTTATTATAACGCAGTTATAATAAAATATTGTGCGATTATTTTCATATAATTAAAATTAATATGTATTTATTTTTTAGAAAATACAAGGGAAGTGGCGCATCCACCGCTTCTAATGACGGCATGCCACTGCAGTTGGTTATTGACTGTGGCCTATGCATTTCATATAAAACCTTGTTTAACTAATTTATATTATTTATATTATGTATTTCAACTTATTTTTTTATATTCTATTGTTTTATTATTTAGTAAAGGTTTAACAATTAATATAAATAGGATAAATTTCACATTTTACTCCATTTACAAGTTTCGTTCCTTGAAATACATAAATTTATGTAATTTGTTTAAAAACAAATATATCAATGAAAATACTTTGTGTTGAAAAGTACTTAGGGTACATATTATGTAACAAATCAGGTATAAGCAAGACAGTGACATCTATGTTAACTATCAAAACACTCATGTTGTTGAGATTTCCAGAAGTGCCACTATAGGGACTACTTAAGTAAATTTCTACTGTATTTAGTTTAGCTGAAGGAAAGAAAGCTGAACAATATTTTTTAATGAATGTTTTATTATTTATTACTTATTTGATGAACTGGTTTTTAACATATAGGTTCAAGAGGCCTTCGCTTTTTCATCTCCAAAAGATTTCAAGATCTATAAAGATAGAAGTAATAGAGATGAGATTATTCCCTCTGATATAAAAAGATTATCTGATATTAAAATCAGGTATGGTAAATATAATGTAATAAATAACATTAAAATTTAATTTTTTTTAATAAATCTATGAATTCTGCTTATTGAGGCAATCAAATATTTAATTTTCCTTATTTTCAAAACATTTTCAGCTCAGTTTGAATCATCATCTGTTCAAACTGTTTTATATGAGATATTTTAGCATATAGAACAAAACTTAAAATAAAGAACAAATTAAAAAGAATTAAATATTTGGTGCCTTCATTTTTTTTTTATTTATTACTACTTTTATTTAATTACGAAAAGCTACTTTGTTTTTAAAAAAATAGTAAATAACTTTCTTAACAAGTTTTGCCTTATTATTTTACTTGAAAAAAATTGTCATAAACTCATTTTTTAGAAATTTGTTATTTACAGGTTGATATATTTGAAAAGTTGGTGTATTAAATCACAAATTAAAAATTGTCCAAAGATTCCCTAGATTTAGACTTGCACAGTTTAAGGAATATGAAATCTACATAGGATATCTTGTAGCAGGATAAGAGCTATTATAAATAAAAGTGGTATAAGTCCATTTTTGGAAAAAAATAAGTTAGTGATAGTTTTAGTGAGATATAGATGTTCTTTTTTATATATTTAATAACACAGTCAATTGTGATTAGTCAGGGGCAAAAGGGGCTGTTCCCTAAATACCATTTAATTGGTGATAGGTCGGCAAGACTTGCTCACGTTGTCTGTTGGATGGCTAGGAGTTTATCGGAAACCCACAACTTGTAAGATTTCCGCTTCCAGTCGGGAACTTACACCAGTTAGGATAATGCTAAATCATGTCCTAACTCGCGATTCTTAAATTAATGTATATAGGAGGGTCTTCAAATATTGAGTGGGGAGTGCAGTGGGTAAGTCGATGAGGTGTCAGGTTTCCAAGGAATAGACAGTCAGAAAGGTTTTTAAACTCAACAAATAAAAGTTTAATAAAACTAGAAATCTAGGATATACGTATTACAAATTAGGCGATTAAATGCGGATAACACATGATTATACAATGAGGTGGCTATTCTACCTTCTATGCTGCAAAGCTATACTACTTTCTATGCTGCAAAGCTATTCTACTTTCTTGGACATAGAGAGTTTACAACTTTCTAACAAAATACTTCAATTCTTTGTTGATTGTCGATAAGATGTTGTTCTATCGTCTTGAAGAGGATTCACCATCGAAAGAATGGAAGTGTCTTCTCCGAGGACTTCGTATTCCCCTTTTTGGGCAGACATCCACTTTTATGGGAGCACATGACCAAACGTTAATTCATTGTAACATTATGACAAATGCCCAGAACTGTTGTTGTTGTTGTCTTGTCCTTTTGTGTGTTTAGCCTGGGAAAGTGGTCAGGTGATCGGCAGTTGTTTAGAACCGAAGGTTGCTTTTGTAGTTGCATTCGACAATGACTTTCATCGATGTAACAGTGTCACTTTCCTCTCCTTTCACAATCAGATGTTATCATTTAGCAACTGACTGTTAAAATTCTCATCCATTTGTTGATAGAGAATGTCATTTGATTGGTATCTGGTGTGATGTTTTTCCTAACTATCATGACAGATGTTATTTTAAAATTTTCTTAAAAATGGATTTTAATATTCCTAAAATCCTGGATCTCGCACAATCAATAGTGTACAATTTCTTCATAAATTAATCAAAAGAACATTAACTGTAAAATGTTATTGAAAGTGGAATAAGTCCATTTGTAATAATCAATAATAATTATTGATATAATAATACAATTATTCTACCTTAATACCAATTAGAAAGTTGTTTCAATTATTTTAACAACTTTCTAATTGTATTAGGTAGGGTCTGTGATCAGGAAAATAACATACTTTCGATTTTTTCATGCACTGTGAAGTTGTCGGTGATTTAAGCATTGACTGGTCTTTATCTTCATTGTACAGATCTACCTCAACCAATAAAATCATTGTTATCATGCCTAGCAATACATAATCCCATGAAAAGTTGCTGCTCTATAGTAACTCTATGGGGGCTCCTTTAGGCCCTAAGGTAATTTTTACTAGTGGCAGTGACTTCACTTCAACAAATGAGCATTTTCTTATTAAAGGCGGTCATACACATTAAGTAAATCCTTTGAGGATTAACTGTGCATGCCTGATCTTGAGGAAATTCAGAATTTCCTATCGCCCACACACGAAGAAGAAAATCTCTGTCTGTCAGTCAGTCAGTCGGCCATCTGATGACATACTAGCTGTTCTTGGATGTTTATTGGCAACAAATTCTATTAAAATTCGTGGGAAAAAACATGTGCATAGAAGTCTATGGTGTAAATAGTAGTAGTAGTGGTTTGGGTAGCACTGATCACAAAATTAATTTTTTATACAAATAATTTTTTAATGGAATTATTTCAGATCACAAAATTAATTTTTCAAGAGAAATCTTGGGGTATAGATGCTGTTAAAAAGCATCAATTATCAGCAAAAGATCAATGGCAAGTCAATTTTACTATTAAAAAAATTCACGGATTAAATTTTATAGACGAAAAATCATCGGATATAACTGGCTGCATCGAACATAGTAATTTAAAAAAATTATTAAATTATTTCCTCAATGTATAAAGAATTATTTTTATTTAAAGGTGGATAGATAGAAAAAAAATCTTTTAAAAACTGGAGCTACAGTTATTTAGATATCGAACCTTGGGTATCCAAGATCAGATAATATTAAAAAGAATTGTTGTTACCACAAATATTTTAAAAAGCATTATTCTTTTTGCAATATTCTATCTTTCGAACGATTTTTAATTGAACAAAAAATAGATAATTTCAAAATCAATACGTTGTATAGATATTTAATAAATAAGTAACAAATATAATTTAAATAATTATTATATTAAACTATTTCCCTATTTTACTTTGTCTTATTGTTAAAATATTATTTCAAATTGTCATGTTTTAATTTATTCGGACATTAGAAAAAAAATAGCAAATATATATTAATAATTCTCAACCACATTCAATATTAATACAAATTGTAAAAATTATCATCACAAATTAATTTTATAATTTAATAATTAAAAAGAATTTATTAAACTTTGTCTTATTGTTAAAATATTATTTTAAGTTGTCATGTTTTAATTTACTTGGATATTAAAACAATAAATTTTCTAATGTAAAAGAAAATGATATAGAGTATCATGATGTTTTATGAAAATGGAAGAAATGAATTGAGAAGTTTTCTAAAATTATTTATAATTTTAATTTACTCAAGAAATTTTTGATCTGAAAATAATTTATAACCTGAAAAATTAATTTTCAGGTTATAAATAATAAAAGTTAATAAGGTTATAGAAAATAATTCTTCCAAACATTCACGAGACATTGTTCTCACTACTCAGTGGCCTCACAACTGAACGACACAATGGCACACACATTAAGATCAGCCTGCGTAGTCTGACACTACTCAGGAAAATCAAATGGTTTTTCGATTCTACTTCAGTTGTCAGTACAGTTTGCCAAAACTGTTAAATTTTCCCCCACACACTATCAGGAATTACTCAAGGTCAGGCATGCATGGTTAATCCTTTGAGGATTAACTTAACGTGTATGACCGCCTTAAGTTGTCTCACCTAAGAAATGTCTTGAGAAAAGACAAATTTTATCAGAACCTCATTCCATATCCCATTACTACAGCTCTCAACTTAAAGGCATGAGCAGATAGAGTTTCCCAATTTCCAAAGTTTGTTCACTGATAACATCACAACAATGTCTAGTTACTCATGTATATTACAACTGTTTGTTGTTTGGATTATGTATTTTTTTTTTTTTTGCTATAACTTTTATGTACTAGACTAATGTTTCTTTTGTAATCACTGAACAGGCTTTTTATTTTGTAAGTATATGTTAATTAAAAAGTCGTCAAGTCATAGTATTTATTTTTGGACCTTCTAGCTCAAAACACACAACATAATGTCCCAAGTTATCTAAAATTCAATCAGTAGAATGCAGGTTGCTGGACTAATCTGATATTGGTTTTGAGAGGCTATTTTGGCAGGTAGCACCTATGACCAATCTTTAATGCATTAATGCAATGCTGTAACATTATTATTTTGATGGTATTTCACTAAGTATCATCTTTTTTTTTCTGTCGCATTCACTTTGATAAAGATTTGGAAAAAAAATAGTACTGCCACCTCAGGGCAGGCGATATACAGTAGGTTGGTTAAAAAAGCATTTCTTACTACATTCAATACAGAGAAACAACTGTAGTATGATTTCTTTGGACAAAACAATGAAAACCATCACAAAGCTATGCTGAAATATTGGAAGTGTATACTTAAGATTGCTTGGATTATTCCAAACAAGGATTACACTTAACATTTTGGAATGTTCAAACAAGGGTGAACAAGCCTATGCAATGAGCAACCTAGCCATCCACGTTCAGCATCTGGACAGATTAAGACAACTTTTATTCTTGATAGTCCCTAGCAGAGATTTTAGCAGAGAGTTTAAGTACTGCTTATGACACTGGTTCATGAAAAGTTGGGGTACTGTAAGACCAGCTCACAATGGGTACAAAACAATTAATGGATAAACAAGACTTCATTGAGAATGAGCACTAGCAATACCATCAGGATTGCTGCAGATGGAGGAGGATGCATTTCTTGAGGAAACTACGAGAAGTGACAAGTGTTGGATTTCTCACTTCATGTCTGATCAAAAAATGCTAGTATGGTTTGGAAGAACACTTCTTCCCCAGTTTAAATGCATCCCCTTCACTGTAAAACTGATGGTTATAATGTTTTGGGATATAAGAGGGTTTTTACTTATTGTGTTCTTTTCATGGAGAAAATGTTAACAATTCTGATGCATGCTGCATTATTTTAATTAAAGAAGTTGCATCATGCTATCTATGATAAAAGGCAAAGTGAAAAGAAAGCAGCAACCCATTGCTTCACAATCATGTTCACATCGCATAGAAGGTTGTGGAAAAAAACTGTGGCCTATGATTGGAAATTTTTGCAATATCCACCCTTCAGTCCTGACTTAGTACCTAATGATTTCAATCTATTCAAACCAATAAAAAAATTTCTTTGGGAAGAAGTTTCAAATAGACATAGAACTGAAATACATGGTGTATAATTCAGTCAACTCTCAAGAAATGCTTTTGGAAAACTGGTATTTCCAAACTGGTATAACCTCATGAAGTGTTCGGATAAGTGCTAAATATTTATAGTTCATANTTTTCTAAATATTAAAATTATTTATAATTTTAATTTACTCAAGAAATTTTTGATCTGAAAATAATTTATAACCTGAAAAATTAATTTTCAGGTTATAAATAATAAAAGTTAATAATGTTACAGAAAATAATTCTTCCAAACATTCACGAGACATTGTTCTCACTACTCAGTGGCCTCGCAACTGAACGACACAACAGCACACATGTTAAGGTCGGCCTGCGCAGTCCAAAACTGGGCAGGAAAATCAAATGGTTTTTTTGATTGTACTCCGGTGGTCTGTACAGTTCACCGAAGCTGTTCAGTTTCCTCCCCACACACTACCAGGAATTACTCAAGGTCAGGCATGCATGGTTAATCCTCAAAGGATTTACTTAACGTGTGGGCCTTATAACAATTCTCTTGGGATTTTTCATGGACAGACTTGCCCCTTCAATGTCATGCCTTCAGGACATATAATGTAAACAAAGGGTAAAATTTGAAATTGTTATTGTTTTTAAGCTCTATTTTCACTAATTTTCAAGTTAGGCAACTTTATTTAAACAAGAAAGTGTTTTTTTAGAAACATCCAGCCATAAATTTTACTGCCAACACACCACTTCCATTTGATTATGTAATTGCGGCAAAAAAATTACTCGCTTAATATAGTCAATTATAGTAATATTCATTCATATAATATAAGAACAAAGTCTAGTATTCAATTTTCAAAACAAAAAATTTGAAAACCTAGCTTTACCCTTCCACCCCCTACAGTTAAGCAGGAAGTGTGAAACTTGACATCATAAAGAACTAATTACTTTTGACCCGGGGTAGCTAGAGCTTTGTGTTTGTTTTGTTTGAAAAAAAACAAATGTTACTATGTTAAAAAACGATGGAAATGAATTGGCACCTTTGATGTTGGAGGTTCTGGATTTTGTGATCTCGTATCACAGTATTGCTCTTGCGGAACTCTTCATCACAGTATTGCCATATTTAGTTTTTAGTTTGGTTAACCAATGGTGTCCAATATTCAATATAGGTATGTGCTGCCAGTTACACTACCTGGACCTCCAAGCAATTCTTTGCTTCCAGACATATTTAAATCAAGATAATTGGCAGTGCACTGCATGGTAAATGGCGGTTACGGGTTCAAATCCCACTCAGAGCCGATTTTTTTCTACCAGACTGTTCTAAAATATGTATTAAATTTTAATAAATATTTTAAACCCTCATTGTAAACCAGACGTTTGTATTTAGTTAATATGGTCCCTCTGCTCTTAATCTCTCCATATCTGGTCTCGGCTCTCATCCATCTAACTCCATTTTCAAGAGTAAGGAAGAACAGATAAATAGAAGGATGACAGTGGAAATTTATAGGTCTACAATCTTTTCAAATTACAGCCCAAAAATGCATTTTGGAAAAGCCAACTTCAATTAAAATATAAATTTAAAATTATTACTCATATTTTTCACAAATTATTGTTCTTGAAAGTAGTGTAAGTTCATTTGTATCTAAAAAAATTTTTTATTCTCTTTAACAATTTTATTAATTATTACATAATAAAATTTAAAAAATTTATAGTTTTATAAACATTGCCTGAATTTATTCATGTCAATATTTTTCAGTTGATTCAAACTCAAACCTGAATTATTTGTACCACTTATTTTCATTTCAAAATGGAATGTGAATATTTTATAATGTCCATTCTCACCAATGTTTTTCTCAAAATGTATGGTATAGCATAATCATATTATTGTCACTGTCTATATTGGTTTTCAAATTTACAAGTATATTTTGAAAATCTTTGAATTCTACAACAAAATCATATTATATTGATTTTTTTTATTCTAATTTTAATACTTTTCTATTTTCCAAAGTTGTTAAACTTGAAATTCTAGCTAGGGTAATATATTTTTTTAAAGAAAAGCTTATATAAAATATAAATAAGAGAAGTTTCATGAAATGAAATGTAGCAAACTGCTAGTCAAATAATACAAATATCATACATAACTACTACAAATAAAATTTTAAAAAATTTTAAGAATTGAAAAGTTTAAGAGAAGACTTTTTATATTAGAAGTTCAAAAAACATTTATGGTTGAAAAACATCTGACTTCTTAATTCTTAAGATTTTTTTTTTGTTATAATAAATGATTTACAAGATGCCTATTTAGTTTAGTATATTTCCGTTAGCCAACATCATATTACTTGTAATCTGAATATTTATTTGTCGTATATAATAATACTTATTTTTGTCAGGAAAAGTTTTAGTACGTATATTTCATTAAGGAAGATTCAAATTACCATTCTGTATTTTATACTTCTTTTGTTCCATAATAAATTAAATTATCTTGGTTAATGCATTTATTTTTAGACTTATGTATATTTGCAAAATCATTAAAATAATATACAATAATGCTTATAATGCTTTTGTTTCTATTTTTAATAGGCATGGTGATATGTTATATTTAGTGCCTAAAGAAACACAAAGACAAGATTTTGTTGCTTCAACTTCACAACCTATGGAAAGTGAAACTACACAGGGGCACATTACTTCAGTTAATTTTTCTAATCCTGCATTTCAAGAAGATGAAGTAGATACATTATTATTTAAACAAGATGGTTACATACATAGAGAAAGAGATGAAAAGCTGTATGTTTTATTCTTAAATAATTTATATTTTATTAAATAATTAAAAATCAACCTTGTATTTTATATGTTTTATCTATTTTGATGCTTCTTTGGAAAATTCTTTATTTGAATGCTTTTCAACCTGGTAGTTAACAAAATTATTACTAGAAATAGAATTATTAGTAAAAAATTGAAACAAAAATTTTCTGTCAGGTGAAAAAGATATGATCATCAGAATAGTTACAAAAAGCAGCAGTGTTTTTGTAATTCAAATTAAATTCAAGTAAAATTTATCTTTTTATTACTTGTAAGTTGTTGCAACATTTCCCATGACTAAGCAATAAGCTTTTATATGTTGCAGAAATGATGTTATCATGAACAATGTTCTTAAATAAGCCACACGAATTTCAATCAGGCAATAATACAATATAGTATAGTATAGTATTATAGTGGCAATAATACTATATAGGCCTAGTATAGTATTATTGCACTAAAGTATAACTACAATAAAAAAATTCAAATTTAAATTCCTTTGTGTCCTTAATTTATTAATTTAAACTTAAAACATCAACTAGGACTTATCTATTATTAGGACTTGTTATCCAGTATAATATTGATAATTCGTAATAATAGATAAGTCCTAGTTGACATTTTAAGTTTAAATTATAACCACAATACTATACTATAGTATAGTATTGTTTTATACTTTAGAAGATTGATAATTATATGACTATATAGATATATATTTCTCTCTCTCTATCTCTGTCTGTCCTATGGGCTCTAAGGAAATTTTTTTCCAGGCCCATCATGGGTTCAGCTTGGCTCACACTGGGGTAGCTAGGTGATGAAGGATGGATTCTGACATATCCTGGACAGACTGCTCATGGAAAATTCTTGATACTCAATCTCAAGTCTCCAGAGTAGCAGGCTGATGCCTTTACTGTCTCAGCTATTTCGCTGGCCTGTACAGATATATAATGATTATGTTAATCTTTATTGTGACATATTATTAATCTATTATATTATGATTTGATTTTGTGTAACACTGTCACTGATTATAACTTATAACTTTTTTATTTCTTATATTCAGGAAAAATTACTCAAATTATATCATTTTCATCTATTGGGTAATTTTATTTCTATAAATTTTTATGATCAGTTTTGTTAAATAACCAATTCAAAAGCATTCTAATAGTTTTATGCAAAATTATCAAGTAGGTGAATTATAATCATTGACTGTGTAGTTTTGCTGAAATTAGATTTTTAATATATGTTAATTTAGTATATAAAAATTTAAAATTTTGAACATTTTTATATAGTTTCAGTTGTCATTGTAATATGACTTCAATTAATAAAGCAAACAACACTGTTAAGAGCTGAATCAAATGATATAACAACAGCCATTAGTCCAATATTAAGTATAATAAATGTATTGTTTGTTAATATTTTGAATGTTTTTTGTTAACATTAACTATTTGTATGGTTGGGTTGTGTTGATAAGCTATACATTTATTGTTGTTATTAGAAATGGACCTGAAGATGGAGTGAAGGTTTATGACATGTAAACAGAGAAGGAAGAGACATGTTTACATTTTGACATATTTTGGTTGGCATTTGAAAAATTCTCAATGAGGTAAAGGATGTTATGCCACCAGAGACCATTTTTATACTGCTGGAGACTGATGATTTTTAGTTCTGTATTCCAATGTGTGAGCTTAGAGCAGTGAGTATAGGTATGCTTGATTAGCGTGCAGAAGGCCAATAATCAAGCATAATTGTTGTTGTTAGACTTGTATTAAAGTTACTTCAAAGAATAAAAAAAGAAAATAACATTTTACAAGTTTGAATGAATTTGGATTTCTTTCAAACTTTAATTGCTATTTCTTTGCACTGGCAAACACAACAGCAACAACAGGATAAATTTACAATGATTCTTTAAGGATGCTCTTACTTACGGTCTCATTACTCCTCTTAAATGAATTATCTTTGGAAGGAAAAAATTCTTATGCTTGCTTAAAAATTTAATTATTTCTTTCAGTAATTCAATATATAAATTATTCAAAACTAGATCATATTGATCAAAATATAGTGTAATCATCACAAAATAATGATTACATCTGTTATGGGTTTTTGTATTTGAACAAAACATTATATAAAATAGCATCATAGATTACACAAAACAAATGTATTATGTAATATTTCTTGTCATTATGATATCTAGTGAAAATTCTGGTTTAGATAATTAGATATCATTTATTAGATAACAAGTACACTTGTGGTTTGGATTGGCTGTAATATATTACATTTGTTTTGTCTTAAAGAGTTTCTCAATTTTGATTATTGTTTGAATATTCAATTCTGATTACTACTTAATGGTTTCTGAAAAAATATACAGTTGAATACTTTCATGGAATAACTTTCTTTTTCCCTTCTAAAAGTTGAAAATCAGTATAATAATCAATGAAAATCAATTGTGTAATTGCATATTAAAAAAAGTAATGCTTAAGATAATATCAAGTAAGAAGGTAATATTTACCCATACATTTTTGTATTAGGAATTTCATTCATGAATTCAATTTTATATTTAATTTTCCATTATTTAATTAGTACTCAAAACAGGGGAAATGATATGTTGCAGTTTATATAAAATTTTCATTATTTACAAAGTTTATTATTATAAATTGTTATGTGAATACTTAAAAAATACTTGGAAATTTATTTTCATCTTAATTTTAATAGATGCAGCCATGGTCATAATGCAAAATGCATGAATTGTTTACCAATAGAGGTAAAATTTTAATTTACTAGGACTTATCTATTATTAGGACTTGTTATCCAGTATAATATTGATAATTCCTAATAATAGATAAGTCCTAGTTGACATTTTAAGTTTAAATTATAACCACAATACTATACTATAGTATAGTATTGTTTTATACTTTAGAAGATTGATAATTATATGACTATATAGATATATATTTCTCTCTCTCTATCTCTGTCTGTCCTATGGGCTCTAAGGAAATTTTTTTCCAGGCCCATCATGGGTTCAGCTTGGCTCACACTGGGGTAGCTAGGTG